GGCTCGGGGGTCTGCCAAGACCCAGCCAGGGGAGGAGGACAACACGGTGCTTGTCCCTTGGAGCCCTCACAGACCCCTCTGCCTATTCAGTGACACCCACAACCCCCAGGGAAGCTGCCAGGAAAGAGCCCGAAATGCCCCCATTCACCACTTGGAGAGAAAGACAGCATAACTTCAATTAAGGTCCCAGACTGTCAAAAAACGTCAACTTATTAATCTCCTCGTGGCAAACGTGAACCGGGACCTGCTTACACAGCCAATTGAGCGTGCTCTAAATTAGTGTTTGCAGGTAATTGATTCAGCTGCCAGCCCCACACCGGCCGCTACAAGCTGGTGACGCCACTAACATTAAATAATATGGGGCGGTAAAGCGTGCTGCCTGACTGGGCCTGCAGTCAGATGCCGTTAGCGCCCGATTTACCCAAACATTAACGTCTCATCGGTTTAACACAATTTACGACACCTCAATTGCGGAAACTGATTTTCATTTCCTCTGGAACCCCGCTCACAGGCACAGTGCGGAGGAGGGGGGAGTCTTAATAAATGGCAGCGGGTCGCTTCCATTTTTCCACTGTGCCCTGAAGATTTTATGACAAACCTTTGATGATGAAACAAAACAAGAAGATGAGGCTTAGAACTAGGTCTCCTGGCCAGCAGCCCCTGTCTGGGTCTGAGCACCACTGTGCCGGGGGTGGTGTGCCCTCCTCCAGGAAAGTCAGTCCCGTCTCCTCCCCGTTCAATCCTGACATGCAAGAGTCCCTGTGCTTCTTGCCCTGAGTCCCCCCTTCCATGGGGCTGGGGCTTGGCCATGCTCCCAGCAGAACATCCAGAAGACTCTAGGGAGACTTCCAGCCCAGGGGTCAGTGGCCTGCAGGGGAATCGCTGCCCTGGACCATCCCGGGCCATCAGTCCAGCCTGTGTAATGAGCACCACACCTCCTGGGGAACCTCCACCTGCTTCAGACGAGATCTCACATTCCCAGTCAAGAGAAGAACGCTGAAGTTTACAGCCAGCAGAGAGGACAGGAGAAAAGTAGTTCAGGACATTTTCTTCTCTTGCGCGCCCATCCATCTAACTGACCCACGTGTATTTCCTGACACCAACTGTGGGGCAGACGCTGCAGATTAATGAGATGGTGGGGCCTCCAAGGGGAAGTTCCTGGGCTCCAAGGACACAGGCCACAAAACAGCATCCCGGGCCACCTGGGCCATGACAGAGACGTGCCTGTGGGGAGAGCGAGCCTGAGGCAGAAGTGTGGGCCCACCTCACCACTGAAGACTGAGTGGTGGCACTGGCAGTAGGGGGTGCCCTCCTCAAATCTGGCCAGAGACACCCCAAGATGTGGCGGTGTCCCAGAACAGTTCAGTTCAGTCGCTCAGTCATGTCTGACTCTTTGTGACCCCATGGACTGCAGCATGCCAGGCTTCCGCATCCATCACCAACTCCCGGAGCTTATTCAAACTCATGTCCATCGTTGGTGATGCCATCCAACTGTCTCATCCTCTGTTGTCCCCTTCTCCTCCTACCTCCAGTCTTTCCCAGGACAACCACCTTTCCATTGCCTCTATTGGGGGGGACGCGGGGGGTGGGGGTGACACCATCTGCTCCCCAGGGTCATTTGCCCTGCCTCTCCCCTCCCCCTGGCCCTTCAGGAACAGATTCCATCTCTTGTTCTCATCATCTCTGCCTCAGCTTTTCTCCAAGAGGAAAACTGCCTCTACCCTCCACCCCAGGAACCCCCTGCTCTCAGGGTTCAGGGACCCACAGATCAGATGCCCCCCCCTGCCCTGCCTGGCTGAGGCCACGAGGGCAGGCACCACTTCCCAACTGTATCCCTCACGGCCAGCCGCAGGGTGGGCACAGCACACTGTAGGTGCATAACAGTGTACCCACCTGGCTGGATTAATGCCCATCATCGCCCTCAGGGTGGCTGCTTCTGGCCCAGAGCCTCAGCATCATTTCTCGGAGGGCCACCCCTGATATACAGAGGAGGCGGCAGTGGGGCCAGCCTGGGACGGGTGGGGGTGGGGGCGGGGGGGAGACCAAGCAGTGTGTAGACAAATGTAAGCTCTCCCCAGAGCTCAGCTTGTCAAGAGGCTGTCCTTCAAATGACAGCCAAATGCAACATAGAGATGCTGAATCCCAGCTCACACAGACCAACTCGAAAAGGACAGCTTTAGACAATGTGACCTAGACACTTGTAATATTCAAGATGACTGTTAACTTACTCAGTGGTTACGTGAAAAGGAAAAAAGTACCCTCATCCACTGAGACACCTGCTGACGTATTTACAGGTGAGATGACTCCATGTCTGGGGTTTGGTTTTAAACACTCTAGCAAAACAAAACTAAACAAAAACCCTGATGGGGACTTGGAAGTCCATTATACCCTTCTGCAGTTGTTGCTGTTGTTGTTCAGTCGCTAAGTCATGTCTGACTCTTTGGGACCCTTTGGACTGCAGCCCGCTGGGCTTCCCTGTCCTTCACTATCTCCTGGAGTTTGTTCAAATTCACGTCCACTGAGTCGGTGATGCTATCTAACCATCTCGTCCTCTGCCGTCCTCTTCTCCTCTGCCTTCTTTCCCAGCATCAGGGTCTCTTCCAATGAGTCTACTTGGGGAGTATTTGAAATTTCTCAATAAAAGGAAAAAAGGATCTCTACTGCCTGGGGTCAGGGAGTTAGGGAGCAGGAAGGAGCTATTTCAAGTGGCCGGCCCCTGACCCAGGGCCCATATCCATAGGAATCCCAGAGCAGATACCATGTTGCAGCAGGAGACCATGGGGAGACAAGAGTCCTCCTGTGGCAGGGGTGACAGGGCTGGGCCCTTGATGACCAAATCTGTGCCCTCTCGTGGGAAGTCATAGCAGCGGGGCCTCTGAGGCCATGTTAACGTCTTATCTCCCAGGATAACAAGAGAGAAATATGGAGGACTCCTTTATAGGTTATTAGACTTTGAATAAAAGATGCCTACCCCCCCCCAAGCCCAGGATGACGATGACCATAAATGTCCACGATGCCCACAGCTGACTCTGTCTGCACCTCACCCTCATCCTGCACTAATGAGGTGGGCTGTCAGAATAGGCGAGGGGTGTGGAGGCAGGCCAACCCCGAGGGCACCTCGGGTAGACTTGGGTCCTGCAAGGGGGTAAGGGGCACAGCACCGAGCTCTTACAAGGCCAGGCAGCCCAGGATGGATGGTACAGGGCAAAACATTTTTTTGTGCTCACAACATTTCTGACATCAAATAAGTGGGTTTTCCACACTAAGTAATTCTCCAGTTCTCTGTGATATCTTCTGATACTGACTGCTGGAGTTAGTTGCAAACGACACAGATTAAGGGCTCTGTACCACAAAACTGGCCCCTCTGCAGGCACCAAGCCCAAGTCCGGGCCTCCTTTCCTAAACTCTGACTCATCAGCCTGAAATCAGGGGTTCCCACCGAGCCTTGCCTTGGGCTTCACAGTCTGCTAGAATGGCTTGCAGAGCTCGGGATGGCGCTTGACTTGCTACAACCACTTCATTATGAAGGACAAAGCTCAGCAAGGGCTGAATGGAGAGCAGCACAGGGCCAGGTGTGGGGGGCAGGGCACAGAGCTTCCAAACCCTCTCCAGGGGCGCCACCCTCCCGTCACCTCCCCACGTTCGCCAACCTAGATGCTTTCCGAACTCTGTGGTTTAGGGCTTTTATGGAAGTGCCATTACCTCCTCAGATACACGACTGATTAAATCACAGCCAGAACTCAGTCTCAATCTCTAGTGCCTCTCTCCTCCCACTCTGAGGGTTCCTCATTAATATAAGGGGCTTCCCTGAGGGCTCGGTTGGTAAAGAATCTGCCTGCAATGCAGGAGATCCCGGTTCAATTCCTGGGTCAGGAAGATCCGCTGGAGAAGGGAGAGGCTACCCATTCCAGTATTCTTGGGCTTCCCTGGTGCCTCAGCTGGTAAAGAATCCGCCTGCAGTGTGGGAGACCTGGGTTCGATCCCTGGGTTGGGAAGATCCCCTGGAGAAGGGAAAGGCTAAACACTCCAGTGTTCTGGCCTGGAGAATTCCATGGACTGTGTAGTCCATGGGGTCACAGAGTTGGACATAACGGAGCAACTTTCACACTCATTCACTCATTAGTATAAACTCGGGTGTGGTGGAAAGGGGCTTATTGTAAACAACCATATGCTCCTCTCTATGAGGGGATTTCAAAGGTTTTATAAGCTCTGTGCCAGGAACTGGTGGTAGAGACAAAACATGCATTTTTGATTATGTCACTCGTGGAAAAATGGCAGCCTCTTCAGTGTCCTCTCTCCACAGGATGGGGGCTCCCAGGTGGTGTGGTCACGACTGGGAGACTTGGGAATGGGGGCTTCCTGCCCCAGGAGGTGGGTGGGAGGGCAGCCACTGGGGCAGCTTGGGGCTGACTCCAGGGCTTCTTCATGCCCTGGGGAGCAGCCTGCTGACCCCAGGGTCCTAGAGTGGGGCTGAGGAACTGGCCGGGCCACACCCAGGATAGTGGGGCAGCCCCCGCCCCACCTCAAGGCCCCCGGGTGGCAACGGGCTCAGCCTAATTGGAGCCACAGGATGACGGAGCTCTCCAGAACGCTTTATGAGCCACTTAACCATCCCTCGACCCAGTCGTCCAAGCACAGCAGACATAATGGCAGTGTTTACACATAAAAATGGCAAGCTGTTTTATTAGCAGCTTTCAGAGTCACAATAGCAGCTATTTGGTAAAGTTTCCCACAAATGGCAGAAAGTCCAAGAGGGGAATGCTGGGGCACTAAACCACCCTGAAAAGTAATCAAAGACCATTACCATCAAATACTCTGCCAAGAGGCAGGGAGGTGGCCCCAGTCAGGAGAGAAATCCTCTCTGCCCACACGTCAAGTTTGCCCCTAATCCCCACTCAATCTGTGCGCCGGCCGCTGCGCCTCATCTGTTACTCGCTCAGGGAGCATCAATTACTGCTTTTTACATTTTAATCTTTACCCAGAGAAACACGGCAGCTTACCTTTCCATCTCATATTCTTTCATTCCCACTTTTACAGCCTTCATTACCTGGAGGACGGATATTAAGCAAAGACATTTGTATTAAGGAGATAAGTAACACTGCCTTATAAATAATGTATAGCACTTTTTTCCAAAGAATCTCTTCTTTAAAAAAAAAAAAAGAAAGATACGTGCACACAGCAGTGCAGAAATGTGACAAATTAGAACTTTTTTTTTTAAAGCTCCAACGTCATATAGTTTATTTAAACCACTCTGGAGCACTTCTATTCAGCAGTCAATAAACACCTCGGCAGGCGAGTGAAGATTTAACCAAGATGTGTCGGGTGAATACTTAATGCTCAGAAGGCCATGGCAACTATCCTAGAAGGTTTCCCTCCTTATAAAACACAGACAACATGAACTGGGACAACAGATTCTGTTGCTCCCAATGATCCCCATCCGTCTCCTGACACAAGGCTACAAAGGTCAGTGAGCAGGCACCGGGCTAGCCCACTCAACCGGACTCATTTTGGGAAATAAACTTCCTTTGCGTAAAGTGGAAAAGGTTTGGGAAAAAAACATGTGAGGGTGTTTTCAGAAAATGTATGATGGTAATAAATGTGCTTGATTCGTGGATAAGGACCACAGATTATTTTTTTGTAACAGGCTTTATTTATTTATTTAAACTTTTGGCCACAGCCTGTGGCATGTGGGATCTTAGTTCCTCGAACAGGGAGCGAACTCACACCCCCTGCACTGGAAGGTGGTCTCTTAACCACTGGACCACCAGGGAAGTCCGGAGGACCACAGATTCTTTCAAAGGAGCTGGGACGGCCAGGATGCCAAGAAGGAGAGTCCTATTCTCCCAGAAGGGGGTACTTCTTGTTGGGAAATTCCCTGAGAGTGGGGGTCTTAAGGTGAGAAACTGGGGCGGAGCCTCTGTCCTGCATGTCTTGTGCCCACTGGGGACCAGTAAGGAGCCAGCACTGTGCATCCGGCCTGCAGAGGCACTTCCTGCCTGCTGCCGTGGCCTGGGGACCAGTGCCACTCTCGACACTCCCCTCTCCATCTCGTCCATCCTCCCCTCGTCCATCTCGACACTACCCTCTCGGCCCACACAGAGCAAGGCTGCTTCCCTGACCCTCCCAGAATGGCAGGTCCCACGAGCCAGCGCCCAGCTTACCTCCCGGTGGGCCTCACTGGAGATTTTATTGGTGTAGCGCAAAACCTCCAGCTCCATGTCCGTCTTGAAGACCCGGCTGCAGAGAGGAGAGAAACAAAGCAGCAAGTCAGTGACTTCCAGTGGGAGCTGGCCGACCCCTCCAGGGAGACCCTGCACTACACCCAGTACCACCTGACAAGGAGCCTGGTGCTGCAGATGGGCTGCCTGGGCGTGGGGGTGGGCAGAGGATGGGATGCCAAGCCTCAGCGATAATAAGCTGAGCTAGGCATGGCCCCAGCCAGCCTCAGGAGCGTGGGCTGTTTCCAGTGATGAGATTGGGAAGCCACTGTGGGTGGTAGAAGCCCAGATTCTGTGGCCAGAGACAGCTTGCCTCACCAGGACTCAGCTTCCTCATCCATTAAATGGGAATACGGCTACATGGTAACACTGCACGCATGCGTGCTAAGTTGCTTCAGTCATGTTTGACTCTTTGCGATCCTATGGGCCGTAGCCCACCAGACTCCTCTGTCCACAGCGTTCTCCAGGCAAGAATATTAGAGTCGGTTGAAGTGCCCTCCTCCAGCACAGCAAGGCTGCTGGACCTGAATCTTAAGTGTGCTGACTCCCAGTGCTCTGCCCAGATGGCTGAAGAATTCTCCCATTTCCTCCTCACCTAGCCCACGGGTCAGGGAGCCTTAGAAAACCATGTGACTCAGGCCCCTAGCATGAGACAGGGTCATGGTGGGAACAGGGACGGGGCAAGCAATGCAACCAAGACACCCTGCCATCCCCTCAAGGCTCAACTGTGCCTCCTGCCAGCTGCACTCCAGGGGGGTCCTCCCAATAAACTCATGTTAGTTTGCCCAAATCTGGTTCGGTTTCTGGTCTCTGCAATCAATCACAAGCCTAAGTCAGACTCCTGTAGAGAAGCTAAATAAATATTCATTTTCTACTTCTACTCATTTGAAATAAGCAACTGCAGGTCATGAGCATTTAAATAGCAGCCCCGCCCAGCCCTTACGTGCATGGAGCCCTCGGTGCATCCCTGACGGCCGAGTCTGCTCCCTTTATGAAAGGTGACCCGGCTTCACCAAAGGGCCCACACGGCCACCCCTCCTCTCACAACGGGAACATGCCCAAGCCCCCTCAAGATCAGCATGGTAGGGGACTTCCCTGGTGGCCCAAGGGTGAAGAATCTGCCTTCCAATGCACGGGACACGGGTTCCACCCTTGGTGGGGGTACTAAGACCCCACATGCTGCAGAGCAGCTAAGCCTATGCGCCGCAACTAGAGTCCATGCACCACAACTAAGGGGTCTGTGCGCCGCAACGAGAGAGTCCACGGGCTGCAATGGAATATCCCTCGTGCTGCAACTGAGACCCGACAGGGCCAAAAACAAGATCAGCAGAGCATACTGTCATGGAGATAGATTAACGCCTGCCCCTCCAACCAGAGTGCACCTGCGTCTAAGCACTGTCCTCCCCTAAAGCCTGGTGGCGCTGAGCTAGTCTCAGCCAAGGTGGCCAAGGATGGCATGGAGCACCCATCTTCACCAGATGCAATCCCCAACACACGCTGTCTCCATGCTGCCCAGCTGGACAGCCTCCAGCCACGTATCACCAGGAGGGAAGGAAGGCATTGTACAGCACAGGGACACATTTCTAAGTCTATAAAACCTTCTGGGGGAAAGATCAACCACCCACCGAGATTCTGTCCAAACAAACATGTCTTCTTTGCCGAGAACCAGACCTGGAAGTCTCAGCCTGCTCTTTATCATCATAAAGGTACTCCGGCTCCTTCTCTGGGTATTGTGAGCAGTGCCACAGGAGGAACCAAAAGCTGGTTCCTGTGCCCCGGAGGGTGAGGTCCAAATCCACTCACAGGATAACCTAGCGGCCCCTGGTGCTTTGATCCTGCCTACTTAGCACCAGCCCTAAGATCTGTGAGGGGGAGCAGACCTCTCTATTCTCCGATGCAGTGATGACAACAGTGACAATACCCGTGGGGATCAGGCCCAGGCTGTCCAGCCTCTGGCCCTCTGCCTCTCTCTTCAGCCTTGTCCAGTGCTCTAGCCACACTCTTGCTGCCACTTAAACCTCTAGGCCCTGTGCCCTTCCATCAGCAGGGGCTTGGCCAAAGCCCCAAGAGGCACGAACCCAAGCCCAGGCCTGTTACTGTAGGACAGGATGGCTGAATGGAAACCACTCAGCCGGCGGACAGACAGCAGCACTGCCACCGGCCTCCAACGCTCCCGCTCTGCCAGGAGTCACAGCAGAGCGAGCAGGCTGCTCTCGACTTCCCCCACCAGGGAGGCCTCCCAGGGCTCCTTCTCACACGAAGGAACTCACCCCCTGCCTCCTGGGGAACCGGAAGCCGGCAGGTAGGTGTGCTCTCACCTTTTCTCCGAACGCCCAAGCCCTCCCCCCAATACCGTCCCCCAACCTGGTACAAGGGAAGGCGTGCCCTCTAACCAGTGGGGCTCAGCCCCCCAACATGCACACCTGGGCTCCGCACCTGCCGCTCTTCCTGGAAGCTCCATGACCGCTCACCTCCTCCTCTGGCCAAGCTTTCTCCCCACCTCCTGGCCCCATTTCCAGAAAGGAAACCCGGACAGTCCTTGCCCTGGGAGAAGAGCTTTTATGAGCCTCTTCCCTGGCTTCTCCCTTACCTTCTCCCCTCTCCTTGTCTCCTTCGGCCCCCGCCACTCTCCCAGCTCCCCTACCACCAATGTGTGGGATGACCTTCTCACAAGCCCAGAGGCATCAGTGACCTCCTGAGAGTAGGAGGCACCATGATGTCTGCCTCCACTGGTCCATCCTCAGCTGCCTCCCCTCCTCCGTCTCTCTTGGGTCCTCCCCTCCCTGCACCCCACACCCTGAGCTTTGCCGCACAACCTGCTTCCAAACCCCTGGCTCGGATATAGGCCTCTCAGCTGCATTCTACCTGGAGGACTCCCGAGGCACCCCCAGCCCAGCAGGGAAGAGACTCCCACCCTTCCTTGGGCTCCCACCTCCAGCCACAGCTCCCCATCCCCACTGCCTAATACACAGACCTGGGCGACCTCTCTCTCATCTGTTCATCACTCCCACATCCAACTGATGACCAGGGGCTGTGATCCCACCTCCACACCCTCTCATGCCTCCCCTTTCTCTTTGCCCCACCCCGCCCCCAGCCTGGACCACCTCTCCTGGCTCTTCTGGCCTCCAGCCCCGTCTGCTTCCTGGACCACAGCTGTGGCTCTTCAGGCAATGCAAATATAACCAGGCATTCCCTGGCTTAAAACCTTTAGTAGTCCCTAGGTGTCCAGACGAAGTTAAAACAAGGACCTATACTCAATATTTTGTAATAACCTATAAGGGAATATATGTGTGTGAAAAATAACTGGATCACTGTGCTGCATGCCTGAAACTAATATGACACTGTAAATCAACTATTGTTGCTCAGTCGCTCAGTTGTGTCCGACTCTTTGTGACCCTGTGGACTGCAGCAAGCCAGGCTTCCCTGTCCTTCACCATCTCTCAGAGTTCACTCAAACTCATGTCTGTTAAGTCAGTGATGCCATCCAACCATCTCATCCTCTGTCATCCCCTTCTCCTCCTGCCTTCAATCCTTCCCAGCATCAGGGTCTACTTGAGTTAAAAACCACAACAACAACCCTATCTTGGGACCCTGAGGCTCTCCAGGGCTCACCTGACCTATCTCCATCACTTAGCTGCAGCCTCCTTCCCCGTCCCCCACCAGGGACCCCTCTGCCTGGAACTGATTCTTGCCGTTTCATTCTCTGGCTTCCACCTGAAATGCCCCTTTCTCAGGGCTGGCTCCATCCAGTCCCTCACCAGGCAAAATCCCCTCCCTCTATTCCCTGTGCAGTAAGTGATCAGGCTTGTAGTTTCTTTTTCATTTAAGTCTCCCTCTGAAAGCCCATGGTCCCTGAGAGAAGGCTCCCAGAGCCAGAACAGTACCTGGCCCTGAGCAAACAGACAGGACCTGGGCATTGAAACCAAAGCTGGAAAACACCTCACTTCCAACCAGGAGAGAATGGCACATCTCAAAAAGAAAAAGAGGCCTCCCCACTCTTGAACACCCTGGGTTGTTCCCTAGGTCAGTGTGGGATGTTGCACAGCCTGGCAGATCCAGGGCAGGACAGGGAGACACAGCTTCCCCAGGCCTCAGCAGCTTAACCCTGCCCCACCACTGCCCGCCCCCTGCCACACAGGTAGGAAGAGGCAGCCCCAGTGTTTGAGCCCCAGGAGCCCACCTCACAGGCTCTTATACTCACTTGCCAGCATATATGCCTCCCAGGCTCTCCACTCCCCGCCCGCCCCTGCAGCCTGGACACCTCAGTCTTGAAATAAGCAGGGAAGAGGCTCCACCAGCCAAGGAGAGAGGGCGCGGGGAGCCCAAAACCACGCTCCCTCCCATCAGAGGTGATATGCATGGTGAGCCGTCTGAGATCCAGAGTCCTGTTTTCTTTTCCAGTTTCACTTTGGGGAAGATGACAAACTCGACCTCTAGCTGATTTACTCAGGACTTATATTTTTAGTCATGTTTAAAAAAAAAAAACATCAAACAGAACCAGGGTGAACTGTCCCAAGAAGGCAGTTCTCCGGTGAAGCCAGCCTGGCTGAGCCCAGGCCTGGCCCTGTTGAATCCAAGCTTTAAGGGCCCTGAAAGTAGACAGTTGCATGTGCCAGCTAACCCGACTGCCCATGGGTACTCTAGGGCTGATGTCTCGCCCTGGTCCTGGGGGTCCCAGCCTGTCCCCGTTAACTCCACAACACAAGCACGGGAAACTATCTTTAGGATCATGGCAGGAAGCAGTAAGACTTTCCAGTGTTCTGCACAGTTTCTCCTCATCTGCAAGAAGACTGCGCTGCCCTGAGGTTGAGAAAGCTGTTTCCCTTATTGCCGATCACAAAAAGGCAAGTGGTTTGGCCATGGTTTGGCCTCTGTAGGCCCAGCAGCCTTGGAATGACGGAAGGACGCTGAGTGCCACACTGAGCCCCAGCTTTGCTCAGCCCGAGGATGTATGGGGTGGGGTTAGAAACATCACCTGCAAGGTGTCCATCCCCAGGAGAGGATGGAGGTCACCTCCTC